AGAGGGGGACTTGGTCGAGCTAGAGGGGGACTTGGTCGAGCTAGAGGGGGGCTTGATCGAGCTAGGAGGGGGACTTGGTCGAGCTAGGAGGGGGACTTGGTCGAGCTAGGAGGGGGGCTAGGTCGAGCTAGAGGGGGACTAGGTCGAGCTAGAGGGGGACTAGGTCGAGCTAGAGGGGGACTTGGTCGAGCTAGGAGGGGGGCTTGGTCGAGCTAGGAGGAGGACTTGGTCGAGGGGGTTGATTAATACATGGTACTAGTCTGTCCGGGGACCTTGACAAATTACTTTATCCATCTCCTAGATTGCAGCTAGTAATTACAGCTGGTAGCAGGAATTTTTACCTCTTGGAGGTGGAATGTGATTGAGCTCTCAAATTTTAAAATATCAGATTGGACCGCACCTTAATCGAATACCAGTATTATTTGTAAGACAGTGCTGAGTCCCAGCTAGAATACCGTAGGGAATCCACGTTTCCACATCTCAAGATTTTTACCCTCTCCATTTTCCCCGCTTAGCATCCTTAGCATCTGGTGCAGGTTTAGTCTTGTTTGCTATTCGGGACAATACTGAATAACCAATGATAAATATGATGTAATGCCTCAATATCTTTAACCACTTAATAGCTTCTTCTACCTCTTCCGTGATCTGCTTAGATATAAATGTTATATTAAATGTTCCGAATACTACTTCCAAATACTACGAATAACGCGATATTATATATATTTATTCGTTACATTAGGTTTTGGATAATAAAGATGTGATTAATTATCTTAAAATTGCAATAATTTACGAGCATCTAGGACTTGAATTTTATTGATATTTATGCTTCATTTAATTTATGCTTTTGCATTTTCAGAAAAAAATTTAGATAGGGCGTCACTTGTTCTTTTACGAAACTGTTTTGAACAGAGAAACATCTTCTGTAAACAAAATATGTACTGGGAATCAAAAGCACACTGCCGCATACATAGTCAACTCTACAGTCTACATACACAACATGTTTACTGTAGCAGTTAACGGGCTAATATCCAGTGGATGACCGGGTAAAAGCAGTTAAATAACCGGGTAAAAGCAGTTAAATAACCGGGTAAAAGCCGTTAAATAACCGGGTAAAAGCCAACCAATAGCCATTGGATGGTAGGTTAACAGCAGATTAGTGTTGTACTGCTTATGCAAATACCTTCAGAGCCCTGGTCGTATTTACATAGACATTTAATTAATTAATAATTGTTTCATCGCTTCTGATTTGTAATCTCTGTTACCACACCATGGTTACTATGTATTTTCAGTGATGACAGCGACTACAACTCATTAGTCATTAGTCACTGTAGGTTCTTTAACTCGTATCCAATACCTTATTCTAATATCTTAGTCCGAAACCTCATTTACTGAATTGCATTTTTCTGAGTTAACCTTTTTATTAATTCAAATTCGACTACGTTTCGAATTGAAATCGTCGTTGTTTTTTAAGTATATCTCCTTTTGCTGAAATATTAGCCACAAAATTCCTCTGATAAAACACGATGACAGTCTGAGATTCAGGATTTGAGGAAGTGTCGAAACGTTAATCTGAAAGAAGATTATAATAGTTGTAAAATATTGCCGTGCTTGGTGTAATCGGGCTAACTGTTTGTAGCAAGACACACATTTTATTGCTTAAATAAAACAGGCGACTGTTAATTTGATGGGCGGTTAAATTGCAACTTGAACTTTTTCTTTGTATAGACGTGTCTACACACTCCGAGAATGTAGAAGACTGAATCTTATACGTTAAGTTACCATAACAACCTTCGTCCAGGAATGAACCCATAGTTTTTTCAGTCTGAGATGTTTTGCGAGGTGACAGTCATTGTAGGTTGTCTTAAAACAGTATCTCTATAGGTTGTCTTATAGCTTATATCTTATAGCTTTTATGTTTATAGGTACAAATATTAAATCGCAGGTTATTCAAAATGTGGGGCTATTTAACAGAGAATCAACTGGACATTTATTGACAGTTCAGTTTAAACTAAACTGTAATGAGATTGTCAATATTGTTTAGTATTTTATTGATAATAATAACACACACTCCAACAGTCGCTGCTCAACAACTTAGTTAAATGTAAGATCAGTAATTAGCAATTCTGAATTTGATCGTGGAAGCCAAAATTGCTCGATATTATTTGCATTCGTCAATAACTGCCAAACTGGCATCTGAAACGAATTCCTGAATTCTATTTGTCGTGTCCGACTATTTAGTTCATTCGTTAATGGAACTCTAGAACTTTGTTTGATTGATAAGTTGTTATTGGATAAATAAAAGGAAACCTCTTATTTCCTTTAAACTTCATATCAAGTCCCAAGGGGTTGTATCTGGAAATAGACATATCTAAATATAACCCTTCCGATTATTATTTCTTGAATCCGATTCTTTTTAAACCAATATGCAGAAACCACTGTTACCTAGTAACCAGTATGTAGAACCCACTGTTACCTAGTAACCACTGTTACCTAGTAACCACTTGCATTGTTACCTACTACCTAGTAACTACTGTTACCTAGTAACCACTTGCACTGTTACCTAGTAACCACTGTTACCTAGTAACCACTGTTACCTAGTAACCACTGTTACCTAGTAACCACTGTTACCTAGTAACCACTGTTACCTAGTAACCACTGTTACCTAGTAACCACTGTTACCTAGTAACCACTGTTACCTAGTAACCACTGTTACCTAGTAACCACTGTTACCTAGTAACCACTGTTACCTAGTAACCACTGTTACCTAGTAACCACTGTTACCTAGTAACCACTGTTACCTAGTAACCACTGTTACCTAGTAACCACTGTTACCTAGTAACCACTGTTACCTAGTAACCACCCTTACCTAGTAACCACCCTTACCTAGTAACCACCGTTACCTAGTAACCACCGTTACCTAGTAACCACTGTTACCTAGTAACCACTGTTACCTAGTAACCACTGTTACCTAGTAACCGGAGACCTGAAAACACTTCTCACGTGTCTCATGAAGCCCATGTACTGGTAGACAATGTTTTTAACGGAACAATATTTTGGGAGACGCTGCCCTCTGTACAGTTATACGTACCGCTTTATAAACTTATAAAGAACAACGAATGACCGGAGAGGTCATGTTCAACAGAAAGGTGAGGCGGTATTAGTGAGCTATTATTATTAGGAGTGGTATTACTATTAGGAGTGGTGGTAGGGCGCCACATGCGGTGGGTCTACCAGCTATGGTAGGTGTGGTAGTTGTCTCCTAGTAACCTCATATTAACCTCATAGTAACCTCATATTAACCTCATAGTAACCTTATAGTAACCTCCTAGTAACCTCATAGTAACCGCCTTGTAACTCCCTGGTAACTTTTCTTCTTTATATGAGGTGTGGCTTGTTTTCTTCTTTAAATAGTAAATATTTAAAGTTTATCTGCCATTTAACAGCTTTTATGGGTAATTGTGTCCAAATTGCCCGGATATTTTGTCATGATTCATACTCTGGCTTTGTGTTTGAAGTTTTGCCAGGCGTTGCTTATTGTTAACAATGCGTTATCAATACACAAGCAAACAGTGATTTCCCTGTTGTATTTATCACAATCCTTAAAATAGATTCCAATCCAACTAAACCGTCCCTTAACTCATCATGATTTTCATAATTTGTTTGATTTTATCAAATCAATCTGCCACAGGAAATGTAAAGGTTTCAACTCTACTTAGCAAGCACCGTTATAATACTGCTACCCACTGCTAGCCCTGTAGAACAACATTTTTAACTCTCCTTTGATCACCGCTAGAACTCCTTCACTTTTACAAAAAGGTGGTAATCGAATAGCGTAACGTGAAATATTTCCTGAAAAATTGGTCATTAGACCGTATAGGTACGGTTATCCTGTGGCCATCTTTAACTGAGTAAATACAACTTTTAGTCAGCAGCAGTGTTAGGATCGTGACATCTTACTTCTGTTACCTACAACTATGAGATCGTCCGTTATTTCTACAGTTTCTTTTTATTTTCTGTACATCGAATAATTTCCAAGTTACGAAGACTCGAGAGTCCAGAGCCACTTTATTTTCAAAGAAACCTTAGTTTTTTACTTATTTTCTACAGTCCCAACTTCTAGTTTTTGGTTACCAATTGAATGTTCGGCATTCAGCAATTTGAAACAATTTGAAGACATATTTGGCTTTACCGTATTTATCAATTTAATCGATAGCTCGATATATGGCTGGTAAAGTACTGCGTTGTGCACTGTATATAACTACATTATTTTCAGCACTTAAATCCAAAAAGAGAATATTTCTAAGAACATGCTAAAGAACCTGGTAATTTACGTCACTGATATTCACACGGTCCGCCCCGGGACCTATTAAAACATAAATCATCCGCTCTCAAGTCTCAAAGGCCACTTCAGATTGACTCCTTGTTCGCGGGGGCTCCAGTATTTAAACATAAAAGGTTTAAAAGGTCCGAGTAATACAGGGGATATTCACTTAATAGCTGGTATGTTGAACAGACCTGATAGCTGGTAGGTTGAACAGACCTAATAGCTGGTATGTTGAACAGACCTGATAGCTGGTACCTAGGTTGAACAGACCTGATAGCTGGTAGGTTGAACAGACCTGATAGCTGGTAGGTTGAACAGACCTGATAGCTGGTAGGTTGAACAGACCTGATAGCTGGTAGGTTGAACAGACCTGATAGTTGGTAGGTTGAACAGACCTGATAGCTGGTAGGTTGAACAGACCTGATAGCAGGTAGATTGAACAGACCTGATAGCTGGTAGATTTAACAAACCTGATAGCTGGTAGGTTGAACAGACCTGATAGTTGGTAGGTTGAACAGACCTGATAGCTGGTAGGTTGAACAGACCTGATAGCTGGTAGGTTGAACAGACCTGATAGCTGGTAGGTTGAACAGACCTGATAGCTGGTAGATTTAACAAACCTGATAGCTAGTAGATTGAACAGACCTGATAGCTGGTAGGTTGAACGTGAACAGACCTGATAGCTGGTAGGTTGAACAGGGGGTCGTTAGACGCGAGGACAGCTTTTCGTAAACTCTCTTTAGCCACCGTCTCTTGATTAGTCTTGAAAGCTAACATAGCTGCTGTTTGGAGCAGTTTCTCCTCTTTTATACTGCTGATTAGCTCCAGTGCTTTGCTCTCTTCGCCTGGGATAAAGAGCTCATTCACATGGGAATTTGTTTATTACAGAAATATTTGATATGAGTTTACTGAGTTCTCGGATGTTAACTTTTCAACCTTTTTAACTACTATTTGATGTGCCCTTAGCGAAAATTTGATCTTTCAAAACTAAAATGTAACCAAGATAGGTCGATTTCATATATAATAATATGATCTCGTATATAATAATAACTTGTCACTATTTAAAATGTGACTATTATATTATTATAGACAATAGATAATAGATAATTATATATAATAGATAATTATAGATATTCTATTTACTTAAGTATAGTTATACATTACTTTATCATATTTTATTGAACTAAGTCTAAGATTTATCAAATAACGGAGTAGTTCGCTGTTTATTAGTCTCATGATTGAAATACTGATATCTGGATATTATCCGGTTGGAAGAGACAAGGACAAGTGAAACAAGGAAGTTAGGAGTAAGGGCAAATTTTCGGCGTCAACGCCATCTTCAGGCTCAAATTGTTTGTTATATAGTAGTGTTGAAAGTAAGTATTTTAATACTTTCAACACTACTATATAACAAATAATTTGAGCCTGAAGATGGCGTTGACGCCGAAAATTTGCCCTTACTCCTAAATTCCTTGTTTCACTTGTCCTTGTCTCTTCCAACCGGATAATATCCAGATATCAGTAAGTCTAAGATTGACGTAGATCAATATTATTTTTTCTCTTTCATAACTGTTTAATATACTGTAAGAATATTGGTTACATCATACCAACTACTTAGTTACCAGGTAACCTACTTAGTTACCTGGTAAGTGGTAACCTACTTAACTGATTTTATAATAAGAAACTAGTACTATTATGAGAGTTTTAGTTCAGAAAGGACATGTCAAACTAATTATTATAATTATCTAATTACCATCACCTCAGACACCTCCTACAATCTCTTTAAATCTCACATTTACTTTAAAGTACCAGACGACTGGGATTTTCTCTTCCTGTCCTCTTTAAAACGGAAGTTGTAAATACTAAATATATAATACGAGAGGGAGACGTAATGTTAATATAGATAGTTTAGCAGAGTCTTAGTAGGCAAGCTCAGTTTAATTAAACATGAATTTTTACCTTCATTCGTAGTAAATCACAGCGAATAGTTCAATGGTCGAGTCGCGAATAGTTCAATGGTTTATGGTTGAGTCGCGAATAGTTCAATGGTCGATTCGCGAGCTTGGTCGCAGAGTTACACTATTGTGTGATTTAAATGTTCATTCTTTTTTCGATGGGTTAAAAAACCATTCGTCATAATTATTCTACAGACATTTACTTGATTTTAACGAAAAACTGTCCTTGACTAATGACTAAATGACTATGCCGATCACTGCCAGGTGGAACACATAGTGTTAAGTTATTTTATTCTTTATAGTTAACCATCCGACCGTTAAGTCGAGTTCAACAAATTAATTTCACCATTAATTCGAACGCTCACATATGTAATTTCCGGATTGGATCACCACTTATGTTACTTGATGAATTAAATCACATGAATGGTTCTATACCTCATGTCTACTGGCTCAATTTCAAGTTGAAGATAATCTGATCGTAGTTACAAGATGATGAGAATTGCTCCGACTTAACATAGTGCTTATCTGCAGCACTAGTATTAGCACCAACTGTTACTTTAACATAGTGCTTATCTGCAGCACTAGTATTAGCACCAACTGTTACTTTAGCATAGTGCTTATCTGCAGCACTAGTATTAGCACCAACTGTTACTTTAACATAGTGCTTATCTGCAGCACTAGTATTAGCACCAACTGTTACTTTAACATAGTGCTTATCTGCAGCACTAGTATTAGCACCAACTGTTACTTTAACATAGTGCTTATCTGCAGCACTAGTATTAGCACCAACTGTTACTTTAACATAGTGCTTATCTGCAGCACTAGTATTAGCACCAACTGTTACTTTAACATAGTGCTTATCTGCAGCACTAGTATTAGCACCAACTGTTACTTTAACATAGTGCTTATCTGCAGCACTAGTATTAGCACCAACTGTTACTTTAACATAGTGCTTATCTGCAGCACTAGTATTAGCACCAACTGTTACTTTAACATAGTGCTTATCTGCAGCACTAGTATTAGCACCAACTGTTACTTTAGCATAGTGCTTATCTGCAGCACTAGTATTAGCACCAACTGTTACTTTAGCATAGTGCTTATCTGCAGCACTAGTATTAGCACCAACTGTTACTTTAACATAGTGCTTATCTGCAGCACTAGTATTAGCACCAACTGTTACTTTAACATAGTGCTTATCTGCAGCACTAGTATTAGCACCAACTGTTACTTTAACATAGTGCTTATCTGCAGCACTAGTATTAGCACCAACTGTTACTTTAACATAGTGCTTATCTGCAGCACTAGTATTAGCACCAACTGTTACTTTAACATAGTGCTTATCTGCAGCACTAGTATTAGCACCAACTGTTACTTTAACATAGTGCTTATCTGCAGCACTAGTATTAGCACCAACTGTTACTTTAACATAGTGCTTATCTGCAGCACTAGTATTAGCACCAACTGTTACTTTAGCATAGTGCTTATCTGCAGCACTAGTATTAGCACCAACTGTTACTTTAGCATAGTGCTTATCTGCAGCACTAGTATTAGCACCAACTGCTACTTTAGCATAGTGCTTATCTGCAGCACTAGTATTAGCACCAACTGTTACTTTAGCATAGTGCTTATCTGCAGCACTAGTATTAGCACCAACTGTTACTTTAGCATAGTGCTTATCTGCAGCACTAGTATTAGCACCAATTGTTACTTTAGTATAGTGCTTATCTGCAGCACTAGTATTAGCACCAACTGTTACTTTAACATAGTGCTTATCTGCAGCACTAGTATTAGCACCAACTGTTACTTTAACATAGTGCTTATCTGCAGCACTAGTATTAGCACCAACTGTTACTTTAACATAGTGCTTATCTGCAGCACTAGTATTAACACCAACTGTTACTTTAACATAGTGCTTATCTGCAGCACTAGTATTAGCACCAACTGTTACTTTAACATAGTGCTTATCTGCAGCACTAGTATTAGCACCAACTGTTACTTTAACATAGTGCTTATCTGCAGCACTAGTATTAGCACCAACTGTTACTTTAACATAGTGCTTATCTGCAGCACTAGTATTAGCACCAACTGTTACTTTAACATAGTGCTTATCTGCAGCACTAGTATTAGCACCAACTGTTACTTTAGCATAGTGCTTATCTGCAGCACTAGTATTAGCACCAACTGCTACTTTAGCATAGTGCTTATCTGCAGCACTAGTATTAGCACCAACTGTTACTTTAGCATAGTGCTTATCTGCAGCACTAGTATTAGCACCAACTGTTACTTTAGCATAGTGCTTATCTGCAGCACTAGTATTAGCACCAACTGTTACTTTAGTATAGTGCTTATCTGCAGCACTAGTATTAGCACCAACTGTTACTTTAACATAGTGCTTATCTGCAGCACTAGTATTAGCACCAACTGTTACTTTAACATAGTGCTTATCTGCAGCACTAGTATTAGCACCAACTGTTACTTTAGTATAGTGCTTATCTGCAGCACTAGTATTAGCACCTACTGTTACTTTAGTATAGTGCTTATCTGCAGCACTAGTACTAGCACCAACTGTTACTTTACCATAGTGCTTATCTGCAGCACTAGTATTAGCACCAACTGTTACTTTAGCATAGTGCTTATCTGCAGCACTAGTATTAGCACCAACTGTTACTTTAGCATAGTGCTTATCTGCAGCACTAGTATTAGCACCAACTGTTACTTTAACATAGTGCTTATCTGCAGCACTAGTATTAGCACCAACTGTTACTTTAACATAGTGCTTATCTGCAGCACTAGTATTAGCACCAACTGTTACTTTAGCATAGTGCTTATCTGCAGCACTAGTATTAGCACCAACTGTTACTTTAGCATAGTGCTTATCTGCAGCACTAGTATTAGTACCAACTGTTACTTTAACATAGTGCTTATCTGCAGCACTAGTATTAGCACCAACTGTTACTTTAGCATTTACCACACTTTATTAACCATTAAGTACCTGGGGTAGGATCATAACCACACTAACTATTCCTGAAACACACTAAATAACTAAATAACGTATTAATAATACGATCATATCTTCTACAAGATGCAGCTTCTACCAGTTAAGTCCTGGAATCACTTGGTTAATAAGGGCCCCTCCATTAGAGCACGATGAAGCGTGAAGCGAGCAGATTTAAAGAGGTGTCAAAACAATCTCCACTACCAGACACGTGGTCAATAGTACCAGACACGTGGTCAACACGTGGTCAACACGTGGTCAATAGTGTGGCTCTACTACTAGTGTTGCTCCACTACCTCTTATTACCCACATCTATTAGGGTGGACACTTGACAGCTCGTTTCAGCCGGGCTTCACTTTAGCTGCTCCAGTTCAACTGGAGGTGATTACGGTAAACGGCCGGTACAGTGTTGTGGCTTACAGGCACCTAGAGGACGCTTCTCATTGTTTCAAACCCTTTCAAATCACTAGGAACATGTGTAGTAACCAGGGAACATGTGTAATTATGTGCTGTTTTAGGTCACGCGTTTTAGGTCACACACTAGGGCCCTAGTGTCCCTACCTACTAACAGTTTTAGAACGCCTCTCACGAATTATACCCTACTTGATGGGGTCATGTCAGGAGTAAGAATATTTAGACATGAGTTAGTTATGTGTCGCTGAAGTGAGAGGCTGTCTTTTATCATAAACGTGAGGCTTAGAGGGCGTTCATTTCTTGCAGGATTACATAACATCATCGTGTGATGGTGCAACATCTTGCAGTATCGTGATCATTTATCATTTAGAACCCTTCCCCTACCCTGATAACTGTCCACTATTCGGATGTTCTGTTTTTCAATAACGATGTTTAGTTTGTTTGCCACGCTCAACCGTGAGCCCTGCTAAACCCCCATTATATCATATTATTAATCCTCAACTCCACTAGACTAATTACTGATTTACCTGCAGTTTTGCTTTTGGCTCCCATTGCTCTCGTGAATTATTCCTTAATTAAAGGGGGTAAAATGAGGGAGAAGAACTAGGAGCGGACTTAATGCCGAGGGGAAGCGTGAGAGTCTTTATTCGTGACAATACTTACAGGACTACTGGGGTGTTACAGCTTGACTCATAGAGCCACGTGGAATCTAATATAAGATTACCTTGAAAACTCTAAATATATTGTAGATCTATCTTCTTGTTAACCTGTAAAACTAGTAAACAAAGATATGGACCTCTCAATGTACACTCCAAAACTCTGCGAACACATGGGATCCAGGCTGACTTGTTAAAAGTTATGGTTGTTTCTTGCACCAGGTATGTTTTAAAAGAAACAGCTCATCTCTCAAACCACTCTCTCTCTCTCTGCCCCACACATTGCTATTTAGCAGATAGTGACATGTATCAACTATCGGACCAGGTGCGAGTCTTTTGTTCAGATGTTATTTCATAAGTGGAATTGTCCGAAAATTATCCGCATCGTCTACGTTAAGAGTTATTAAAGGCAATGTTCTGTTATTATTTAATAATTTTCCATCTCATTCTCATTCTCGTCAACACACATTATAACACTTAGCTGCAATATCAAATCGCACTGAATAAAGCTAGTTATGCGCCATAATCGCAGGGGGATCATTTGCGCAAATCGCATTCAGTCTCGATTAGCAGGAACATGGCTGTGCTGTATTGTTCAATAATACTAGCCACCACTAAAACTTTCTGTAGGTCAGCAGGTGCCCCAGTTGCAAATGTTAATTATTCAGCTACCAGAGCGCCTCTCTTGATCTTGGTTGTTGAGACTTATTCATTATTTAGAACCGGGCCGTATTTCTCGCTCACCTTGCTTGATATTGATCGTGTCTGTTGGTTCATTGATTAAATGTACTTACTACTTATCTGTATTTCATAACAACTATAAAGGTGACTCTAACCATACACATGTGCCCAGGAAGCATGCCAGAAACTAATGATACTACCCCAGTACCGGGCACAATACCCATCCCTTACAATCCACACATTGACAACTTCTTCGGGGTCCTCTGTCTCTTCAGCTTCATCTTCGGAACCCTCGGCAACCTCCTCGCCCTGTCCTACTTCATCAGGAAGAAGAGGGATGTGCCCACTATCATCTACACTAACGTGGTTCTGGTGGACCTGATTCTAGCTGTGATAACAGTTCCCGTGGGCATCTCAATATTTGATGAGCGGAACAACTCCGTGTTCTTCCAGTACCAGATCTTCTGTGATGTGTGGGGTTTCATCTGGACAGCTCTAGCTCGAATGTCCGTGTTCCTAGTGGGACTCCTGTCCGTGTCCAGAGCTTACTCCCTCACTTTCCCCTTCAGGGCAGTCCAGAAGAGAGTGATAGTAGTGATAATCCTGGTGGCGTTTGCTATCCACATCACTGGAGCTAGTATCCCACTATGGTGGAACGATAATCACCTCTACCATCCTGCCATGGCTGCCTGCATCATGTTCGGAAAGAAGGCCATGCCGAAGGAAGCCATCACTGCTACTAAAGTGTTCGACTACGTGGGGATGCTGATTCCTGTGCCGGTGATAATAGTGAGCTTCATAGTGACGGTGTACCAGCTCGCTAAGAAGACAACAGCTGGGGGAGGCAGAGGAGACAACTACAAACAGAACATCACCGTTACTATAGCTCTCTTTACGGGTCTGTTTACGTGTAATGAGAAGCAGACTTTAACAAAACCTTTACTTAGTTTCTAATGATATGTTTCACGGGTTTGGTTTTTAATAAGTAGCTTGTTGAGCCAGGACCCTGTCCGGGTCCCATTTCGTAGTCTGACCTTAAAGCTTCCTTCAATTTAGAGCTATTCGAATTTATGACCAATAACATAATATCTGTTATTCAATAACTAACCCACTTCCCCTTCAGGAACGTACCTGTTCTTCAACGTGCCAGCAGCAGTGGTCATGCTAATCTTCAACTTCTTCCCCAACCTGCTGTGGCCTCACTACGTGTACCTGGTAGCTTACATCTACGTGATGGTGATCCCTCTGAACGCAGCGTGTAACCCCATCATCTACCTGTGGAGGATGGAGAGGATGAGAGAGCAAAGTATCAGCATCTTCAGACGCACTTTCAGCGGGAGAAAGAGTCTGGTGAGTGGAGCTCTGGATGCGGAGACAGTGCAGAGCTACGTGGCAGGAACCAGAGTGTCTAATGAGAACCTGTGTAATGCTACTTTGTGACTAGCCGTGAGGGAGTGTTGTGTCAGGTAGTGTGTTGGGAGGGAGACTGTTAGTTGTGAGGGAGAGTGTGGTGATAATAACACACTGGGGACACGTGTTGTACTGGACACTCCGGAGGCGCGCCGTGTTACGTTTAACTCTCCGTCTGAGTGTAACATATACTCTCCTAGAGTGAAGCATGTTACAATCAACTCTCCGAGGTATCTAATGAGGGAAACTCCCTTACTCTCGCCGAAAGATCTGACTGGGGACGTTCTGACTTGACCGCTAGTGCCCTTTTAAAAAGTTCAAAAAAATTTAGATTTACGCTGAGCTGCTTTCTTTCAGATGATTAAAAAAAGAGTAAAAAGCTTAATTCATCGAGAAAAATTCTCTAATGCTTGATGAATGATAGAAATCATGTTTTCTTAAAAGATTTTAAGTAACGAAATTGTTGATTATCTTAATCAAATGCTTATATTAATAAGGAATTTTAACAAATAGTTAAATCTTAATTGTAGTCTCTCCTGCCCGCCTCTATTCTACTGTATGCAGTAAAATAAACATATTCAAATGGCTAACCTGCTTTAACCTACTTAAAGCTATACCTCCCATTTCTTACACCACCAATTTCTTCCCGACCCACTTTTCCGATTTCGCTTTTATCAGTTCCTTCAGTAATCAGTTCCTACGCCTTTAACTCAACCTCTTCCTCTCTGCTCGCCTTCTCGTTGCTTCATTAGTTATTGCTATTTGACATTTGGCAATTATCCAAGGACATTCCCGGTGATAACCTCTTTTTATTGCCCTGTATTACATCTTACACACTTTCTCTGCAAGATCATAATGTTCACTACTCTAACATTAAACCCGGACTACTTTACGCTCGGTAAGCTGCTAAAAATAGAGCCCTGTAATAGGTTTGTTCTCTGACAATGTAGTGGGTATTAGAGAGAACTAGCAGGAAATCGTAATAACCCTAAAATGATGTCAAGACTCAAGAGACTAAAATAATTATTACCTATTTAATTTGCGTTTTTGACACCACTTGGGAGTCCAAATTTTGGGCTCTAAAATTCCTATTGCTTGGCCTATTTTTCATTTTTCATGCTGATTTGGAGGCCATTAAAGCATTTGACCCAGTCAAAAAAGTTTCAGTTGTATATCTTTTACGGTTTTTGCGGAAAGTCGCGTTAAAGTTGATGCCGCAGTGTCAGCAAAATGGCACGGATAAACATATATCGTCTCGCTTTATATATAGTAAGATGTTCTGGAAACTACTCTCCTTACAGGTAAAATTCTAGAGATTTAATCGGCGATAATTCCACAGAACATGAGGTAACTTGAACAATTTAGAGGCAGGAGACGTAAGGCAAATTAGTACGTTCCTTCGATTCTTTGATGGTAAAGACCTGCTTTTCATTTTTCTGTTGTGTATTTTATAACGATTTAATAATAGATCGGGTGACAAAGCCTGTTTTTCCTCGCGAATGTTCATATGACCATTAAAAAAGGTTGCGAAATTACTGGTCGGTCGATTAAAAAAGCGCATGCTCAAAGTGAACCTTCTAACACTGATGAAATTATTTAAGCGAATATGAAGGTTAGCATATTCCTACTGAAGAGTTTTGTGAAAAAATCTGACCATTAAATAACAAAAATAAATAACGTTAATAATTTTAAACGAACCTTTTAACAAAGCTAACTGGAAGTGAAGCACAGTCTCGTTAGGGTCCCCTGAATTAGCAAGAGAAAGCGTCGTCTCGGCTCCGGTAACGTTACCAAGTGCCATCTAGGAAAACTAGGTGTACTCTATATTATACTGCTATCAAACAGAGGAAAAGATTAGCAACTTCAGTGAACTTTTTACAGCATATTCATGAGTTCAATTAAAATCAGTTGCTTTATTTTTCGACCGGGTGAAGACTGGAGACTTAGAGAATACCGAGAAACTAAATTATAAATATGTCTGTCGAAATACCAAATGTGAGTCAGTGAGTGTTTTTAAGACTGTAAATATACAAACACGGCTGGTACCTGACAAGTAGCAATGTTTCGAAGCAGCTTCATCCTATCTGTGGTATCTGATAAGTCTAGACACAGAGTGTACAACTGTTCTGATATACTAAACTCGGACTTTTCCCACATGTTCACTCCTGCCTGGCAATACAAGGGTCAGTATTTGGTTAGTGCCAGAATCACAAATTATAAAAATGGCATATTCCATCCCAAAGAAAAACGAGTGGGTGAGTAATCACTATTGTCCATTTATCGATTAAAAACAATATGGAATCTGAAAATGAATTACAAATTACCAATTAATCAAAAGCAAATTACTACCACGAACCTTCCACAGAAGATCGCGTGCCTTGATGCGGAGATCAGTATCTTCTGTACCACTAGAGGTGTTCTTCAGTAGTTCTAGTGTTTTACTGACTCTCTCAATACTTTCCACTGAAACAAGATCCAGTCAGTTATAGAGCTCTTCAACTACTATGACCTATCCACAGTTTTCATCACTCCTGGATGATGGATTATCTCAGAGAGACACTAAATGCCTGTGTGTGCCAGATAGCATTCATCCTAAATTATTAAAAGAACTTGAACATAATTCAAGTTTTGTTTCTGCTGTGACTAAATTATTTCAAACATGTGCTTCAAGTGGGAAAATTCCAGAACAGTGGAAGACAGCAAATGTTACATCTCTTTATAAAAAGGGTAGTCGGAAAGATGCCCTAAATTACAGGCCAGTGTCACTTACATGCATTTTATGTAAATTATATGAAAAATTAGTAAGGAGGCATATTATGAGTTTTGTTAGTAAGAAGATAAATCCAAACCAGCATGGATTTGTAGAAGGTAAATCTTGTTTATCTAATCTATTAGAGAGTGTAGAATGTATCATCGAACTGTTAGAAGATGGTGCACCCGTAGATGTGTTTTACTTAGATTTTTGTAAAGCATTTGATAGTGTTCCACATCATAGACTACTTACAAAAATGAGAAATTTGGGTATAAGTGGTAACACTTTAGATATTGTGAAAGACTTTTTATCTGGAAGAAGATTTAAGACATTTGTTGGTGGAGCATATTCCTACCTTCGTGATGTTTTATCAGGCGTCCCACAAGGGTCTGTTTTAGGTCCTTTATTGTTTGTCATTTTTATCAATGACTTGCCTGATTGTATTAATGGTATATCAAAACTGTTTGCAGATGATCTTAAAGTTATTATGGATGCCAATGACACTGAAAGCACTTTCAATATGTTAGAAAGCTTGCAAAACTGGCAAAATGTGTGGCTGTTAAAGTTTAATCCTAGCAAATGCAAAATAATGCATGTTCCATTTAATGAAAATCCCCTTCAAGAATATGTATTTAGTGGTGTTACACTTGAATGTATTGAAGCAGAGAAAGATCTTGGAGTTTTAACTTCTTCAGATTTGAAATGGTCGAAACATATTAAAAGTTGTATTAGTAAAGCAAACAGTATGATTGCATGGGTTACAAGGAATCTCATTATAAGAGAAATTAATGTTATGAGAAATGTTTATAAAACTATAATAAGACCCCACTTGGAGTATTGTGCTCAGTTGTGGTCTCCACCTGCCTGCCATGGGAATTGGGCTACTATCATTGAACTGGAAAATGTCCAGAGAAGGTTCACACGCCTTATTGATGATATTGGAACACTGCCTTACAGTGAAAGGTTGGATGCCTTACAGATTACAACACTCGCAGAGAGACGGGTTAGAGGAGATTTGATTGAAGCCTACAAAATTGTAAATGGATTGGTTGAGTATGGAAAAGATATTTTCAATTTAAGTAGATCGGGAGATAAAATTGTTAGCACTAAATCTAACAATATTGATAGAAATATTAAAACCTTGTCTAATAATTTTTTATCAGAGCGTGTTATCAGCTTTTGGAATAAATTGCCATCTTTTGTTAGAAATTCAGTGTCTGTTATTGCTTTTAAAATTAATCTAGAAGAATTTAAAAAGACTAATAATTTAGTAGACACAGGCAACTTTTGGGAAGTGTCAAATATAGTTTCAGCAAAAATAGAGGGTGTAAATTATATCGAAAAGAAGAAGCAACAAGTCCAATATTTATATAAAAATCCGTGTGTTGCCAAGAGAAAGGGAATAAATATCTCATGAATTTGTTTTTATTTATTTATTTTTTAAATTAACGGTTTTTAACTTTTTAAACTTTTTTATATGTAAATAAATTATGACAATTATGTTAGTTATAGAATTTGTTTGTTTTTTAATGACGAAGGCTGTGAAATGTTCACAGTTCTGATAATGAGGAAATCAGAAAGAATGTTTAAAACTAGTGATGATGTTTATGTCATTATTCTTAATCTAATCTAAAATCTGTAATTTAAAGTTTGTCACAATTAACTAACAGACTTCAATCAACAGGGCCCGGAAAGAGTGAACTAAATAAGATAATGAATAATGTTAATGTGAACCACCCGATCGATCGGAAGGTTAATGATATATTATACGAGGCAATTGTGTTTTTCTTTTCTTCATTGCGGGGTCAGCGGGGCCCTTCGTTACGCCACTGTAGAATCCGTCCCCATTCTCGTGTAATTGGAAAAAGATCCTACTCAATACGGAGTGTAAATACTTTATATTACGGTGAATGCTGAAATTTGCGCGCGCATATTTAACTACAAATTGTTGGTTCGGCGCAAACGTTATGATATTTTGTCACGGCCCACAGTCGCCCAAAGAAATCTTCTTACTGGTTTTTACTGTCTTTTATTATAGCACTGAAGTTACCGTGGAAGGCTTCGCTAAATCAGCAAAATGTGTTAACTATATCTTTAAATATTGTAGACTTTCCTGGATCGAAACTTCGAAGTTTGATAGGAATTTCTCTTTAGATAACTTTTGTCATACGTTGTATGACCCGCCGCGCTCCCCCTGTATCGTCAGGGGGTCGACCGTGAAACGACCGTGGGGGTCGCAACGTGATACAAGATAACTTATAATGGAAGGTACAGCAGGGTGTCATAATTATTGGCGCGTAGACAATTTTGCGTGAAATTTTAGCTTACCCAAGCTTTTAGAAACGATCATTACTTGACTTCTGAGGATCAGTTTCCTATGGAGTCTTGATCATTCGAGAGATAATCCTTTATACTACAGTTTAGTCTAAAAACGAAGTCCGAAAGAAGTTAAATTTTGTACACAATAAATGAGTAACTTCAGAAAAGTACAATAAAATACAATAAATACATAACAGTAACTAACTGTTATCAGGTGAGAGTTGAGATTTGAGGAGAAGTAGTTGGGTGTTACAGGAAGTGAAGTTATTGTATCTGGACAGTATCTCTCCCGTGGTAACTGGTTTACCGTACTCCAACACAATGTCTAGTGCTTCGCTCAGCCAGTCTGGCAGGTTACTTTTTATCTCCTGTGGTGTACTGTGTAACTATATAGTTCAGTCTATTTTACTATCCTTGTAGTCAGGAATGTATTTCATTCCTGATCCTTCTTTAGGTACTTGTTTCATTGTTTGTCTCAATGAATTCACATTTGAAGGTGATTAAATCTTAACAAAAGTTGTAGACATAATAGCAAGAATAACCTTTAAACATATGTCATATTATGATACTAAACAGTAAACATACGCTAAAATAAAGAGAATAATAAATGTGATAATACGAATCCTTCCCAAACTTCTAATTATAAACCAATTAAATTTCACCTCTAACTGCTGCACTAACATGTCCCCATTATCCGTAACAGCAAGACACTTGACCAGTAAGAGTTGGGACTCTGCACAAGGGTCAAGCTGTGTCGCTAGCCGTGCAGCGGTGATGCACGTGCTCACATCAGCTCCTTCTTCAAAACAACAAGTTGTCAGCAGTCTGTACATCCGAGATAACTGCGGACATTTAATTAAGTCTCATATAGTTGTAGTAGTAGTAGTAGTAGTAGTGTAGTTAGTACCTAGCCTGATTACTGATAGATAAAATGTCTCATTGCAAGTATTATGTATACTGCCATTTAACCACAATATTAGTTATAAATTAATCACATTTGGTAAAGTAACCACGGACAATAGCTTACCGTGAACACAGAGCTACAAACATAACACGTGTCAGGCACCATCAAACAACCTCTCAAAGCAATCTCCTCTAAACCTCCTCCTCGCATATCTCTTAAAACAGTCTCCTCTTTGAGAGAAACCGTATATCCAATCAGCCAACCACTATTCTCATATATTTTATCATCTTACCTGCATTCTCCACCCATATATCCTTTAATCTCTTGTATCTTATCTCCAGAGCTAAATCTAATGAGTTTGTTGATTTCTACTTAATATTATTTGTTGTGGGTTTAATTTTATTCCTCAAAAGCAGCGAATTCTACAGCTCGGTCTGCGGATCCGTTAACACATACGAGGGAGATATAAATAGGCTACAAGCTAGGCTAGGCTGTGGTAGGTTCCATCGCAATAGATTTAGGTATTGTTCCCTCGACTCTCATCCAACTATTGAGCACGAAATAAATATCCTTTTGTTACATAGATACTATAATATCCTTTATTACATAATTTAACTATAATATCCTTAAACTCCATCGCTTCAGTGAATACAGGGGACGCCCGGACGCCGCCGCGGTAACTGATGTCTAATAAGCTTAAACTAGAAGTAGTGTTTTTAAAGATATCTAGTTTTATATAAAGTAAGCTACGTTCATCAGGTTAGATTCCACTAGTTATCGTTATTTATTAAATAATTAGTAGTGTTCTTAGTATAGTTGATTGAGTTAAATTAGTTAAATGTTAAATATTAAGTAAACCTCAAGCCCTCCGCTACACTCACTGACTACTCACCCTACCTTGCTATATCAGAAGAGAACTAAAAGGAAAGTACACTAGGGATAAGTCAGGTAAAGATTCAAAGAATTAACGACGGTTAAGAAGTGCAATAATTGCAAAGAAGAAAGAACACAGAGTGTAAAGAACCAATCAGAAGAAAGCACAGAGGGAGAGATGTCTATTAAAGATACGCATGAAGAATGGGAGATCTAGCGACGTTCCTAGATGTGAGAGCTTGTTCAAAATATCCAAAACTGCAGACAACAGTATAGTGAGGTATAGTGATTAGTGGGGTATAGTAAAAAAATAATATGGCAAGTTAAGAGTAAACTCAAACTTGGAACAGGAGTTAGAAGATTTCTCAGTGGAGGATAAGTTAATCAATGTTAATTTGTACGTAAATAATAAATAAGCTCCAATCGTTGTTTCGGTTTATTTGCTAAGTGGTTTGTTTAGTTTGTGTTATAAGTACAGTTAATACTTAATAAATCAAATTTGACCGTGATCGTTTCATACGGAACCATAGGTCAGACTAGAAAGCAAGAATATGCTGCAGAATGGGCTCTTATTTATCATGAGGTTCTCTCTATAACAAACACCTTAACTCTTAAGGGAGATGACAAACTCCGATAGAGGAGGAAACACAGAGGCCGCAACGTATCGTGATAAGGATCGAATTAATGATAATATATAGTCTATATATTTTAAATATAATTGATGTTAAAGGATGAGGGGACCTTAGAATTTACTTCCAAATATTCGCGTTTAAGTCCTGTGAAAGTGTGTAGAATTAAAAAATACGCCGGACTGTGAAATCGATAATTCGTGCAATATCACGCCGCGCTCCTATTGGCTGATAGCAATTTTGGGCTGTGACGTCACTTATGTGTTAAGACCAACGTGCGCGCGCACCCTTTGCTCGTGTCAACATTTTGTTCTGTTCTGTTTTAATTACGTCGTGTTACCTTTGGCGTTTGCGAGAGCGGTATCTTTGGTTGCACTGAATTAGTCTAAGTTACGAATAATTCTCTTTAATAATAATAGTTAAATGTAACTCAGAAAGGCTTTCTTGTAGTTGTAGTAGGTATTTCTATTTATAAATAGCTAAGGTAAGTAGCATCCGCTAACTAAACCACAAACTGCTATTTTGTTTTGACTTGTTTGAAACCCGATATGGACACAATTAAAAAGAATGTATGATGTAGTAGAAGACATTTTACTAGCTGGCCCTTGGCGCCTCTAGTCCTATCTGAGTACGCACGTGCGGTTTGACACTGCGCGTGTACCGGCCTTTAGTTGTACAATCATTTATAATTTACCGTTTTAGTTTGCTGTGACTTGAGTGTAAAGCGTAACGAATGTGGATGTGTTCGTCTGCTATGCTTGGTATAATATTGCTTGGTGTAATAGTTGCAAATCTTGCTTACGTTATAAGTAGTGTCACATAGTGAGTTAGAACTTAAAAGCTTGGTGCTTGGTGCTTGTCCAACTGGAATGAAGACATGCATTTCATACCTACCCGATCCATTTTTATTAGGACCGTGTTGTGTTGATATGACATGTTGATATATCAACTGTGGTACGAAACAGGGAGTTGCTAGGTGTTACGTTGGGAGCTATAAATATACATAATTTACATGCCTTTCTGTGTGACTTCAATCTTATTCCAGGTGTATCTCGGCTCATGGTTATCGTAGGGTGATAATTCTTTTTTCAACCGGTCATAAAAAGTCTCCTCTCCATTGGTTATAGGCTCGTTAGTATCGTAAATTGTTAATTTATTCTTAATTAGTAATTTAGTCGGCCCGCACGCTCATTTTACCTGTATTTCTATATGCGCGGATCAGAGCAACTCACATAATTGACGTCACAGGTTCAAATTGTTTTGGCTGGATATCTCGGCGCGCGAATGAAATACAACTTTGCGGATTTCACTAAAGTGGTTTATACGATTAATGTAATAAAAGGATTTGCACGAGAAAAAAACTTTTTCTAAGGTCCCCTCATCCTTTAATGGAATAATCCTGTTTATGAATCCCATTTTTAAACTTTTACCGGTATTTTAACTACAATGAACAGGCTCCCCGATCAACGTATTCGTTATTTTGAGGAAATACGTTAACTTTAGGAACATTTTGAAACTTTGCCCACACGTAGACGTAGACGTACACGTAGACGTTTGTAAAACAAGTAAGCTCTTTCGAATTTTTTTATATACAGAAAAGCTGAAAGTTTAAGAGAGACTCTCACTTAGTCATCAACTATCAAACTAAAAGAGAGAAAGCTCTGAAAAAAGCTCTTTCTCTAGGCCTGGTGTATAACAACTAGAACAACTATTTAATAGGTTTAAATAGTGGTTGTCAAATGTCAATGGATAAAATGAGTGTACAATAAACGTTCGATATTATTAAGGATTGATGTTGACGAGTTCAATTATGAACTACGATCATTATAAGTATTAAGAAGTATACAGCTGCCATGGTCAAAGAACAAAAAAGAATATGGCAAGTTAAGAGTAAACTTAAACTTGGAACAGGATTTAGAAGATTTTTTACCGGAGGATAAGTTAATTAATGTTCATTTTTACGTAAATAAGCATTAATTGTTGTTTCGGTTTATTTGCTAAGTGGTTCGTTTACATTTTTCTAAGATCATGTAGAAAGTTAGAAAGACAGAGATGAACCATTGTGGCTCCACGATTCCCTCAGATTGTGGAGACATATGCAGCATAAAAAAGGAGTGGATTGTTGTTGACCACAAATCATGCTATCCATGCTTTTTTACGTAGAGATAGCAAAGGAAAAAAAATGGTGACTGTTCCACCTGTCACCATGTCTGCACATTTCATACCGTGGATGAATTACTCCTCAGTTGTTGTGATGGGAAATTGGCGGGTAATTGAACCTCCGGTGGACCAGGACTACGAGTTCAACATATTAATAAACTCAAATTATGTGAATTACACGACCCCTATCTTTCATTCAAAAGAAAGCTAAGAAGTGAGAGGTCACGTGACATCACACGTGGCTAAACTTTAAATCATAATTTTAAATGTTATTACATTATACTTTATAACTTTATACTCAATTATCACTAAAATTTTAGGATAAAATAATAACCTTACAGCTATAATAACCAATATTACCTTGGTTAGCCATGTCTACCAGCAACGATCCTTCAAAAGCCAGGGTCAATGGCATAATGTATGAGACTGAGCCTATGTTTCTGAAGTCCTACACGGAGGTTCGTCTAGAAAGACTACATCTTAATGATGCTGGAGCAACTTTTCATCATACCCTTACGTACTCAGTGCTTACAAAATCATCACTGATCGCAACTTTCCAGGTGCAACAAACTGGATTTATTATTAACAGACAGTATGATGCTAGACTTACCAAATCAATTAGCACTCACTGACGGTCGATATCATGAATATAAATGTTTTTTCAAGCAGATGAGAAAGAGATGAGGTACATATCATTTTGCATGATATGTATCCCATTCAAAAGATTAAATTCCTATTCTAAAGATTAAATTATAATTTTTAATTAAAACTTAATTACAATTCTAATTAAATAAATCCCATAATGATTTTAATGCAGCGCTAAACACAAAATTTTAATCACCTATACAGAATAAGATAGAAAAGTATCGATTTTAACATTTCTGTTCCTTTTCTAGTTTTGTAGAAAATGTTTTTGCTTAAAAGAGACTAAAGATATTAAGTACCTGTCTTTATTCTATTCTTTTTTACGTAGAGATAGCAAAGGAAAAAAAATGGTGACTGTTCCACCTGTCACCATGTCTGCACATTTCATACCGTGGATGAATTACTCCTCAGTTGTTGTGATGGGAAATTGGCGGGTAATTGAACTATTGAACCTCCGGTGGACCAGGACTACGAGTTCAACATATTAATAAACTCAAATTATGTGAATTACACGACCCCTATCTTTCATTCAAAAGAAAGCTAAGAAGTGAGAGGTCACGTGACATCACACGTGGCTAAACTTTAAATCATAATTTTAAATGTTATTACATTATAATACTTTATAACTTTA